TGATATCCACAATTCTAAAGTATTCAACACAGAAACAATTATTCTGTGTTGTTGTATTGTGATATCCACAATACTAAAGTTTTTAACACAGAAACAATTAGTCTGTGTTGTTGTGTTGTGATATCCACAATACTAAAGTTTTTAACAAAGAAACAATTATTCTGTGTTGTTGTATTGTGATATCCACAATACTAAAGTTTTTAACACAGAAACAATTAGTCTGTGTTGTTGTGTTGTGATGTCCACAATTCTAAAGTTTTTAACTCAGAAACAATTAGTCTGTGTTGTTGTATTGTGATATCCACAATACTAAAGTTTTTAACACAGAAACAATTAGTCTGTGTTGTTGTGTTGTGATGTCCACAATTCTAAAGTTTTTAACTCAGAAACAATTAGTCTGTGTTGTTGTATTGTGATATCCACAATACTAAAGTTTTTGACACAGAAACAATTAGTCTGTGTTGTTGTATTGTGATATTCACAATTCTAAAGTTTTTAACACAGAAACAATTATTCTGTGTTGTTGTGTTGTGATATCCACAATTCTAAAGTTTTTAAATCAGAAACAATTATTCTGTGTTGTTGTGCTGTGATATCCACAATTCTAAAGTTATTAACACAGAAACAATTATTCTGTGTTGCTGTGTTGTGATATCCACAATACTAAAGTTTTTAACACAGAAACAATTAGTCTGTGTTGTTGTGTTGTGATATCCACAATTCTAAAGTTTTTAACACAGAAACAATTATTCTGTGTTGTTGTATTGTGATATCCACAATTCTAAAGTTTTTAACACAGAAATAATTATTCTGTGTTGTTGTATTGTGATATCCACAATTCTAAAGTTTTTAACTCAGAAACAATTAGTCTGTGTTGTTGTATTGTGATATCCACAATACTAAAGTTTTTAAATCAGAAACAATTAGTCTGTGTTGTTGTGTTGTGATATCCACAATTCTAAAGTTTTTAAATCTGAAACAATTAGTCTGTGTTGTTGTGTGGGCTTGATTAGAATAATGAGGTTCTAACTCCGAACATGGTTTTCTTATCTCAACCTATTTGTCTAGAACTTCATTAAAATAAGAATGCCGCTAATAGATGTTCACCATTTTAAAACAAGATAAAAAACTGCAAAACATTAATTATGGTGTTAGGATGACAATATAGAAGCTAAACAATAATTAATCAACTATAACCTTATTAAAAAATGTATGAAATACTTAAGATTTGTATCATAATATGGATATTTAGACCAATGGTTTTCTAGCCTCTTAGTAATTTCACGAAAATCACACCTATCACAAGACTTTTATTGTTCATTTTAACTAACACTATTCCGGCTGACGTTTTTAAAGATAATCAAATAGTATTGGTCTGAGGCTGTTCAAATTTTTGACTTTTCTAATTATCACATGCACCTCACTTTAGGCTTGAATTAGGGCTTTTATACAAACTGCCTGACTCTAAGTCCTCAGCATACTGCCTAAATGCCACATTTTACCTTTACTCGAATAAATATATATTTAGACCCACTTCTGGTCATTAGATTTCAGGTTTTAATAGCTCTTTAAAAAGCATTGAAAAAAAGGAAGCTGATTGCCCAATTTTTGCGAAAATATTTTGCATAGATTTTTACAAAGATGCCTTTTGTTTTCCTTGAATACAAATTTAGTTAAAAATTTTTTTGCATGTTTAAATTTTCAAAAATGTATACTTTATCATATTTCGAGCACTTTTTGGCTTTTGCTTAATAAATTAATATTGCAATACATATTTGAAATTTTGCAAATTTGCAAATTTGTTCGCAGATTATATGAGTTAAGCCCAAGGGCTTTCCAAAAATGTATAAAATGTTATAGATTTGTATCACATTAAGGAAATAGAGGGGGCGGTCATAGCCCCCCCCCCCCCCGAGTACGCCTCAAGACTGTGTCAAATGTAATTTATAAACCGAGTGAGAGCTCAACAGCTGTCAATGAGAAATAATATTGTTCAATAAACAACATAACAGTGTTTTTTTTTCCAAAGAAATGAAAACCTAATGAAAACAAAAAATCTACTTTTTGATTTGTGAATGTAAGTGTTACAGTCTCAGAAAAATAGTTCCATTAGGCGAATACTTCAATAATATTTTAATGTACTTTGGCGTGATTACAGTCGAAAAGGAGTCACGGAAGTTCGTGGTAAGATTTTGATTCCACTGGAGGGATTCAGATATCTTTCTGGGGGATTTATAAGTCAATTGAAGGAATTCAGATATATATATCTAGGGGGTTTATAATTCCAGTGGAATTATAAACCCCCAGGAAGGATATCTGAATCCCTCCAGTGGATTTAAAAACTCCTTGGAAGGATTTCTAAATCCCTCCAGTGGAATTATAAACCCCTTGGAAGGATATCTGAATCCCTCCAGTGGATTTAAAAACTCCTTGGAAGGTTATCTGAATCCCTCCAGTGGAATTATAAACCCCTTGGAAGGATAACTGAATCCCTCCAGTGGAAGTATAAACCCCCAGGAAGGATATCTGAATCCCTCCAGTGGAATTATGAACCTCTTGGAAGTATAACTGAATCCCTCCAGTGGAATATTAAACTCCTAGGAAAGAAATCTGAATCCCTCCAGTGGAATTATAAACCCCTTGGAAGGATATCTGAATCCCTCCAGTGGAATTATAAACCCCTAGGAAGGCTATCTGAATCCCTCCAGGGGAATGTAAATCACCCTGCGTAAAGTTTTAAATTGTAAAAAGCATTTTTTGAAACCCCTCCAGTGAAAATAAAATCCCTTCGGTGGTCTCCAGTAGAAACGAAATCTTACTACGAACTTCTTTGAGTCGTCGAAGAGGCTAATTAAACTAAGGTTGGAACTTTTGATTGACTATCCAATATTTTAAAAGGAATTTACCTCGTATTTTTAGTGGTTACATGTCCTTTTTTCCATCTTACCAAGGGGAGGAAGGCCAGCCACAACAATTTATCGTCCGAGCCACATTCTCCTCATTTTCTGGTCCGTGGAATCCTTGTACTTCGCTTATTATGTGTTTTAAAGTTTCCAATCGTCAAAGATAAAAATATTTTTTTTAAGCTAGCCACGTTAGGGCATTAAATATGAATCGATTGACTAAAGTATTGCAATGATTTCATTATGTTGGAATCTTCAAACCCATGAGAATGATGTCTAACTTTATTTAGGCAAAACTTAAATCTCTTCAACCTCCGAAGTGGCTAACCTTTGCGATATAAATTAAATAGCAAAATATTTTGCATATATACCTCTGTCTAACATTTTCTCCGGGAAAATGCTATGGTTTTCACAAATTAACAAAAAAGATTGATGCTATATATAAACTTGGAATTATTTGCGGCATTCTACCCCAGGAATATCTGAAAATGCGTGTAAAAAATGTGAACATTGTTAAGGACATTAATCTTGACAACTTTAATTCAACTAAAACATTTTTTTTTCGACTTACAAAACTTCAATATTTCATTTATGCCCTAAGGAGGCTCGATTTTTAAAATTATAGTTTTATCTGGAAGGATTAGACGCTTAAAAAAATAATATTGGAAAATTGAGGATTTTGAGGTGTCTCGGACGAGAAAATGAGGAGAAAGTGGCTCGGACTAGAAATTGTTGTGGTTGGCCTTACACCCCTCTCTTACCTCAACTTCCACTTTTGTACGCCCCCTTGTCTCTCATAAACCCTGAGAACGTACACCATGACCTTAGAACATTCATATAAATGCAATGTACACAAAATGTACACTGTACGCTGAACAACCCACACAGAGTATACTTACTTAAGTTATTTTAGTGAAACTGAAGAATTTGTTTAAGAATTTCTAAGAAACTCTGCGAGTTGTTGGTATTTTTTAATATGCTTTGTCACTTACTGTACTATCAAAATATAGAAAAAATATTTAAAATTTCTCCTCTAAACTTTTCGTCCATTTAAATTTCTTTTCTACGTTACATTTAGGGGGGGGGGCGGGGCCGGGGCATTGACTTGACCGTACCATTTAGAAACTAAATCCAGTAAAAATAAACTTGATTGTTTACAAGATTAGTCCCGGAGAACCCTGGTTTGAAAGGAAAATATTAAGTGTATCCTGTAAATAAAAATGTTGACGCCCTGTTTTTGTCAATTCAACGATATATTTTAATATATAGTTGCCATGTTTCCTGCTTTGGAAAACGATAGAAATATAAATATAAGAAAATAATTGTATTCAAAGCATGATTTGAATACTTATTATACCGACATTTTTTATTTTCGAAACTGAGGAGCAATAAGCTTTTAAGAATATTGTACACCAAAGGGCTAGATCGCTGGGCACGATCCGACTTTTTTGAAATCGTTCCGTTTCGTTCTAGATCGAGGGCCTTCAGCTAACTCATTACGTTCTCGTTCCTGTTTTATAGTTCCGTTCCGTTCTGCGTAGAAGAACGGTCTTCCCGTTCCGTTCCGTTCTTGGCGTTCTTATTTAAAGAACAGTTCCATCCCTCTCGTTCCGTTCTTAGTCAAAGAACGGTTCTATCCCATTGCCATTTCAGTAGAAAGAGCAGCGCGCTATATATGGAAAAAATTAATTTGACTTAAATGCACAATTAGCGCTCTGAATTTCTAATCCCTGATATATGCCAGGAACGCGCCCACCCCTACACAGGGCCATTAACAGAGGTCAATATGGTCTTATGTCTAAGAAACAAACGGTTTAATGTAATTTTTTATTTCTGATTACCAATTGAGGAGTGCGCATGCCGCAAAATACGTTTGGTTGGCGTGTTGGTTTACTTTTGCACCCCCCCCCCCCCCTCTGCATGCAAGACTGGGAAACTCTGGAATAGAAAGACGATCTTAAAGCAATTTCAGTCTAATTGAATATACAACATTCAGAGTCTAAATGTTGCAATTGCAATTGTATACAATTGTTAAAGGGAGATATAAGTCGTAAACTAGCGAAAAGTCGTACACAAATACATAATTTATATATTTTCAGATATTATGTAAGCTTTGATTTTCTACCATTTGTTAAAGATTAAAGAGTGAAGTAGGATGGAGGAGATGTAAGTTTATCTTTGTTGTATTCTTATTTTTTTATATGTTTTAACTTCTTGTTCTATTTTTACTTTTAGTCATCAATTCTTATTTTTGGTTATGTTCTCACCTGTTGTGTTCTCTTATATAGTTGTGTTCTCATTTCTAGTTATGTTCTTAATTCTAGTTGTGTGTACTTTTAGTTATGTTCTTCATTCTAGTTGTGTGTACTTTTAGTTATGTTCTTCATTCTAGTTGTGTGTACTTTTAGTTATGTTCTTCATTCTAGTTGTGTGTACTTTCAGTATGTTCTTCATTCTAGTTGTGTGTACTTTTAGTATGTTTTTCATTCTAGTTGTGTGTACTTTTAGTATGTTCTTCATTCTAGTTGTGTGTACTTTTAGTTATGTTCTTCATTCTAGTTTTGTGTACTTTTAGTATGTTCTTCATTCTAGTTGTGTGTACTTTTAGTATGTTCTTCATTCTAGTTGTGTGTACTTTTAGTTATGTTCTTCATTCTAGTTTTGTGTACTTTTAGTTGTGTTCTTCATTCTAGTTGTGTGTACTTTTAGTTATTTTCTTATTTCTAGTTTTGTTCTTGCTTCTAGTTGTGTTCTTACTTCTTGTTGCGTTCTTACTTTATGGTTTGTTCTTACTTTATGGTGTGTTCTTAATTAGAGATCTGTGTACTTTTAGTTATGTTCTTAATTCTAGTTGTGTTCTTACTTCTAGTTGCGTGTTTTACTTTTTGGTGTGTTCTTACTTTGTAGTGTATTCTTACGTTATGGCGTGTTCTTACTTTTAGTTGTATTCTTTATTCTAGTTGTGTTCTTACTTATTGTTGTGTTCTTAGTTAAAGTTGTATTCTTACTTCTGGTGATGCTCTTACTTATAGTTGTGTTCTTTATTTCTAGTTATGCTCTTAATTCTAGTTGCGTTCTTACTTCTAGTTATGTACTTACAGCTAGTTGTGTGTACTTTTAGTTATGATCTTAATTCTAGGTGTGTTCTTAGTTTTTTAATTGTGTTCTTACTTCTAGTTATGTTCTTACTTTTAGATGTTTCTTACTAATAGTTGTGTACTTACTTCTAGTTATGTTCTTTTTATGTTGTTCTATCCTAATTAGTTGTGTTCTTTATTTATAGTTATGTTCTTAATTTTATTTATTGTTTTTGTTCCTACTTCTAGGTTTTACTTGGGATGGGCATTGGGCATCTTTTAGAAATTATTTTTAACAAAAAATATATCGTTTTCGTTTCAAAAAGAAAAACGCAAAAGTTTGTTTTTCGTTTCACAACGAAAAACTGAAAACATCGTATCGTTATGAAATGGAAATTTTTTTAACGTTTTTGGTCTGAAACGATAAACGAAGATATCGTTATTTTTTTTGTTTTTAGAGTTGAAATGAGTAATTTTCGTTTTGAATTTTTTAAATTTAATTAATTTATCAATCCTTTATAACTGTTTGTCTGTCTAGTTGTCTATCTGTCGCATGATGTCTGTCTGTTCAGATTTGGACCAAATTGTAACTGTAAAAAAAAGATTTTATTACAAAAATAACACTTTATTAAAAATCGATAAGGAAGGAATTGGTCAGAACAAAACTTAGAAATTGTGTATGAATTGGATGAAATGTTATTTGGAAAAAAGTGGAGTAATTGTGCCTAAATCTTTACATCCTGATTGTGTAAACCTTTGATATTTCAAACTTACACCACTTGATGATACCAAAATGTATAGTACAAAATCTGGTTGTAAATATATAGGGATTAGAAAATCAGAGTTAGTGGCAAAAACCCATATTAAAATGAATATAAATTGTAGTGACAGTTTGTCTTGAGTAATTTTAAAAGTAGTTTTCCGTTTTTTTAAACATTCAGGTTTATTTGGTGATTAAAAGGCTCCATAAAAATCTTTACAAGGGTTGAATTTTGATACGAAAAAAAGAAAAATGACAATTCGAAATTTTTCATTACGACAACTTTTAAAACAATCGTATATGAAATATTCCAACCCAATTTCTGTCGAACCAGAAATTTCAAATCGATTTTTGAAACAGCTAGAAAGTGCCCATCCCTAGTTTTTACGTGCTACCGAATCATCTACATTAGATCTAGTAAATACTTGTTATAGCTGGTATTGTACGGATTAAGATAGATGTTGGGTTCAGGGCTAAATATATTTAATCTTGATTATATGAAACAATATACATATATTATACATGGCGCATTAATAATTACAAGTTTTGCATTTAAAGAATAGAGGAACTTGTAACATGCGCAATTTGTAAAGAAACATCATTGGTCAGTTGGTCAATTAAAAATAGGAAAAATCAAACCTAATGTTTAGGGGGGGGCATTTACCTACATTAAAATATAATTTGCACTTGAAGACGGGCTTGTCATGGTAAACAGGTTTCTTGGCGTTGAGTAATTAAAGACTTTGATTCCATAGATACGGCGATAAAAGGATAATTAGGCATATAGGGATAATTAGAGATCTATGTAGGGATTTATGGATAATTAGGCATATAGGGATAATTAGAGATCTATGTAGGGATTTATGGATAATTAGGCATATAGGGATAATTAGAGATCTATGTAGGGATTTATGGATAATTATAGGGATTCTGTTGCGATTATTAGGAATGTAGGTATTTAGGACTTTGGGGCTGTGTATAGGGATGTAGGGATAATTAAGGACGTAGTCTTTTATGGCTGTGTAGGGATGTAGGGATAATTAGGGATGTAGGTATTTATGGATAAAAAGAAATGCTGTGGTGATGTATAGGGATGTAGGAATGTAGGAATTGTTGCAGGAATGTAATCACTGTAGGCAGAGATGCAGAAAACCATGAGTGTAGAATTACAGAAATTCTGGATGCAAGGTTGCTAAAATGTATGGTTTCAGTGCATTGGAAATTCAGAGTTCTACAGAGAACCATAAGTTTAGAAGGGATGCAGAGAAATATGGATTTAGACTATATATAATTTCAGGGATACAGGGATGCATGGGTTTAGAGGATACAGGGAAACGGGGATTCTAGGTTATATGGATATATGAATATGTGGAATACAGGGATATATGGGATACATGAATACAAGGGCATAGGGATATAGGTATATATACGAATACGTGGGATACAGGATTACAGGTGTAGAGGGATAAAGGAATATAGAGATATAGGATTACATGGATCAGCGGTAAGAGAATGTCAAGGATTATAGGATTTCAGAGATACACAATTACAGAGATTAAGGGATACATGATTACACGGATACATTACAACAAATATACAGGATAACATGGATACAGGTATATAGGGGATCCAGGATAACACGGATACTGGAAGACACGGATACAGGATAACACTGAAACAGGATAACAGGATTACATGGACACAGGATTACTGTAATAAGCTATGTTACTTAAGGGATACACGGATAGGGAGACAGGGATTCAAGGTTCTAAAGGAGAGGGATACAAGGGAGCAGGATACAATATAATAAGTAATTATCTGAACCACTTAAAAACAAGTTTCCTTTAATTCCCATAGTTTACGTTAAATAAATTCAGAATTTTACAATAGGTAGTTTTTGCAATCAATCAAAAATTTAAAATTTTGGCTTGGAACTTTAAATACTTTGAAAATGTAAAAATGTTAGCATTGAATTTTTTTTTAATTTTTGGGAATTTTCAGCACTAGAAATAATTGTAATTAATATTTGGAAATTGTATTGATTTAGAAATTTTCAGTGCTTGGAAATTTAAATACTTTAAGAATATTTGGGAACTTTTAATGATCGGACCTTTAAATACTTGAATTTTTAAATATTTTGTAAATACTTGGGAATACTTGGGAAATGCCAATGTTTAGGAAATTTAAATACTTGGGAAATGTGAATACCTAGGAATTGTAAATATGGGTTGGTAAAAAGTTCGGAAAGGAATTGAGTCTTAAAAAAAACAGATTTCATTAATTGACATTTCATAAGGTCTTTAACATTGTGTTGCAAAGAAATAGGGATTATAAAATCAGAGTTTGTGGCAAAGACTCGTAATCTTTTTTGAGTATTTGGTATATGGCATTTTAGTAGTTTTGAGCTAACTGTAAAAATGGTATTTTTCTAAAATATATATTTTCAGGAATAACAACAACATTGAGATGGATAAATATAAACAAAGCCCCCCAGCGGAGACGGTCAACCCAGGATATAAAGATGAAAACAAACCGACATTTGTCAAAGCAAGAAAAACAAAACGTCTCAGGATGAGAAAATCCCTGGTGAAGGTGAAACGAAACCTCCAGGCAAATAAAGTAACAACACAATTTTTTCCACCACAAGGCGAGGTTGCCACCAACCTTACTCTAATTGTAGCAGTTATTATCATCTTCTTCTGTGCCCGAGCTGTCCTGGGCACAATAGCAGCTCCTGGAGGAACTATATTTGCTCTTTTTATTCTCATTCTTCTCTCACTCATTGCGGGACAAATTGTAATACAAGTAGCTTCTTGGATATCGAAGCTTGTGGGCATAGATATCAAGATACCTCCTCTGCTTGGAATGATGGCTGTTGGGATTACTCTTAAAAATGTTCCTTACAACTTTGGCCAGTTTGGTAGAGCTGAGTGCATTGGGAATGTTTCAGTTGAGTTTGCAGACTCTCTTCATAACTTTGAGATAAATTCATCTGAATTTGATGAGGAACTAATGGGATTTACAGTAAAACCTTCCATCAGACTGCATGACATATATGGAGCTGAAGCCCAGCATTCTCTTGATCATACTGTGTCTGAAAACCAGCGTATATCAAGCAATGTGGACCAACATGAAGTCTTTCCTCTAAATGATCATGAATATAATCCTAGTACGGCTGATGATACTCTGAGCAATGTTGTTCAAAAATCTACCCCATACCAGGAACGGTTGCAGGGGATTATTCAGAACCATATTGACACACTGACTAAAATTGGTGAGCTTCATCAAGAATTGACCAAACCAACTACTCCATCAGATGAAGATGTTATAGGAAGTAAGCATCCTAAAATGAATGTTTTTAAATCCCCCAAATGGCCAACTGACCACAGTTCAGAGGAAAACATTTTAAACTTGATGGATTCAAGACATAAAAGAACCTTACGTAGTGAACATGCTGAAGAAAGTACTTCACTGCCTGAGGATTCCTGTAAGAAAAGATTCATTGGGCATGAACTTGATCCCTTGCTGTCTCGAACTCTAAGATCCATATGTCTGACAGTTATTCTACTCATGGCAGGCCTAGAACTAGATCCTCCTGCACTCTGGAGACTTAAATGGATTGTACTCAGAACTACATTTATTCCTTGCCTTGTAGAGGCATTTGCAGCATCTTTATTTTGCTATTTGATCCTTGGATTTCCCTTTCTTCCTGGTCTATGCTTTGGATTTGTTCTCTGCGGAGTATCTCCAGCTGTTATTATTCCAGGATTGGTGAATCTGAGTCAGAGAGGATACGGAGTAAAGAAGGGAATACCAACACTGGTTATTGCAACATGTTCTGCTGATGATCTTGTGGCTATTGGAGGATTTGGTATTGCACTTGGTATCACTTTTAATCCAGATGCTTCAATTACCGATCTTGCCAGCCATGGTCCAATTGAAGTCACCATGGGTATTGGATTTGGAATCTTCTGGGGTTATGTATGCCAGTGGCTCCCAAGTAGACATAACAAAGATTATATCCTGTTCAGATTTATTATACTTTTTTGCGGAGGTCTCTTTGCCTTGTTCGGAGCCCATCTAATCCACTATGACGGTGCAGGTGGTCTGGCGTGCGTGATCATGGCATTTGTTGCCTCAATTCAGTGGAGAAAAGAAGGATGGGGAGATCATAATCCCATAACTGACATCTTTGGGAAAATGTGGATTATCCTCGCTCCCATCATATTCTCTCTGATCGGAACTAATATCCAGGTTGATAAGATGAACGGTGATACTGTAGGGTTAGGAGTTGCCGTTATAGTTTGCTGTATTCTAACAAGAAGTTTTTTTACCTATTGGTCTGCAACATTTGGAGGACTAAACACCAAGGAAAAGTTATTTCTAAGCCTGGCCTGGCTTCCAAAAGCCACAGTTCAAGCTGCCTTAGGTAATCATGTAATGAAACCATTCATTCTGAGCTAAATTTCACTGCACCTTCGAAAAGAAAGAAAAAAAGTGAAAGCATATTAATCATTGTTTTCGAATCTTCAATGTTTTAAATGTTTAGGGAATTCTTTACAAAAATAAAATAATAATGAAGGTTTTTGTATTATCAAGCTGCAGTTCTTAATCATTCTCCAAATTTCACCGATTTTTCTGAAAAATTTTGAGTATTTTCAAAAAATGATTAATGTAGACATTTATTCTTGGCAAACTGTTTTGATATTGATAGTTAATGGTTGTGTATCTTCCAATAGGTCAACAATATGTGAAAGGAAGTGTAATTTTAAGTGACCGGCCTCCATGCAACACGCACCCCTGACCCTTCAGTAAAAGTAAATTTAACCTAAAGTCTAACCGCGTCAACCTTGTTGCACCGGCTAGTCCTATTGAGTGTATGCTTTATCTACCCAATGCCCAGGTGGTACAGTACAAACTAGGACCGGAAAGGTTGACCCGGCTAGGAAATTCAAATGTACTACGGCTGCCTTTGGCTCAAAGGAATGATCAGAATTAAATACTTAAAATCCTAGAAAAACGACGATATTTCCCACATTATTAATCAAATAAATGTTATAAAAGTGACGTTGTGAATTGGGCATTGCCATTTTTGTATGGAGGGTCACTTGAAACTACAGTCCCTTCAATGGTAAACAGAAACTACTCAAATTTGAATAAGGATTTAAATTTGGGTGCAGAATAATTTACATTCTGTTAAGTTAAGGGTTTGTAATTAAATACATTTTTAATCAATTTCAGGTCCAGTATTTTTGGACAATGCTTTGAGGTCCGGAATAACAGAATTTGTTCCGGTAAAAATTTCAAATAAAATCAGTGAAAAATATTAATATCTTTTATTTTCATTATTACAAAATTAAACTATCAGTCTTGATGAGTTTTTTTTAGTTTTTTTCTACTTTCAACCCATTTTGATGTATGGTTTTTAGTTTACTTAAATATTTTTTAGATGACTTTATTATGTTTTCTTTTTATTGAGCGTTTCATATTATTTAAAATTTCTTGTGCTTCAAGTCTGCATATTTTAACATTCTGTTCATGTTTCAGTACGGAGAACAGATTCTCAATATGGCAGTTCTATCAATTGTGATCAGTGCTCCCTTGGGAGCCGTCCTAATCCTAGCCACAGGGCCCTTGCTTCTCCATTCTGATTTAGAGGTTAAAGGAAGCACAGATGAGGGATCTGATCTGGAAGAAGCTGAGAAGGAGGAGGAGGGGCAGGAAGAGGATGCTGAGGAGAGAGAGGAAGAGGATGCTGAGGATAGAGAAGATGAGGAGAGGGTGGAGGAAAACGCGAATAAATCCTTCAAAAATAATTCTAAGATGTTAAATAATGAAATGGAAAGTGTGGACGTATGTCAGGGGGATCTTTCTGTAGACAATAAAAAGATCGTAAAAGAACATTTGAACTAAAGAAGCGAGATAAACATTGAAAAGCATTTCAGTATTTTCCTATATATCCAGTTATTCCCCATTTTCAATATTTTCTTTTATTTTGATCTGGCTGAAAATTGATATGACTATAACAGTCAAATTGCCTACACTTTTCTCAGAAATCCATCGGATTATCTACAATTTAGTCTTTGCCACAAACTCTAAACTTTTCTAATCCCTATATCTTTACAACCTGATGTTGTAAACCTTAGATATTTTTTCTTGCAGAAGCCATAGATTAAAACATGTGAAGTGTACGGCATTATGTTAAAAAGGTTTATTGAATGAGAAAATCAAAGCTTGTGACAAATTCTGAATTCCTTAACAAGATTTTTTGCTGAAAATTCGTTCGCAGAATTAAATAAAAAATAGCTTTTTTGTAAACATTAAGTAATCTTTATATGTACCTATTCTCAAGATTCAGCTCCGACCGATTTTAATGTTAATATTTAATTATTGTTCTAGTTTAACCTGATTTTATCTAATTATAACCATTTGAATCATTAGACTTCTTAAAATAAACTTGTGATGATATATCTACCGTTCTACGTTTCACATTACTTCGTTTAGGAAGCAAAGTAAACTGATCAAAAACTGAATTTTCTAATTAAAAAAAACCAAGTCAAAACTTGTGCGTGGTTAACCCTATACATGCTGGGGGGGGGGGGGTCTGCATCTTTGTAAAGCCTGCGGGCGTCCCACTCCCCCCCTCTCCTGAAAAAAGGCCTTAGAGTAAAAATAAAAGGATACAATGCATATTTAATGTCCATAGCCCAATGTAAACCATCCTTCTCTTATTTTGACATCTATTCTTCAAGGTCTTTTCAAAAATGTAGTCTTTAGTCACAAAAATGTATTGGCCAAAAGTAAAAAAATCAAGGTAATAGTGTCAAAAATGCGAGTGCCGGGATATCGAGATCTATATTGCGCAGTGCGCTATTTGACACCAACGATTTGACCTTCAACCCGATTTTTATCGTGGCTCTGGCAGATAATGCAGTTCACTTTTTTCAACGCAGATTTCTGGTTTTTACTTTCCATGGAATAATGTTGATCTTTTATTTATTTATTTAAAGCACAACTTGCTGAAAAAAACTAATATAAATTCAGTTTGTCTCAATAAACATGGGAATGGTGTGTCGGCTGTATGGTTTCGGATATCATGTCAATTTGAATTAATAAACAAAAAGAATGTTTTGAACTTCAAGTTCAAAAAAATGATATTTAACTCCCAAAAATGGTCTTCCGTATAATTGATAGAGCATGATATTTTTAAGAAACTGGTCATTTCTCTCTTGTACTAGAATTTTGAAAAGTTCATGTGATGATACATTTTGAAATATCTAAGGTTTACGCAAGCTTCCCTAATATCTTTGAATAAATGTCAAAAGACGCATTTTTGTGTATTCCCAATAAAGTATTCAGAATTTCAAACATAACTGTTAAAAGAAAATGGGATTACTTCAGGTTAATTAGTTGTTTAAACGATTAAATGTCCAAGGATGAAAAAAAAACCTTTATATAGAAAGGTAGCATACTCATACCATAGAAATTTTTTTTTAAATTCTCTAAATTTGTATGCCTTAAAAGTAAAAAAAATCCAGGTGATAGTGTCAAAAATTAAAGTTCTAGGGCAAAAGATTTATTATAATGTCTGAATTCCTATAAATGTTGCAACCTGAAAATTTTATTGGAAAACCAATTGATATTTAAATTACCATACTAAATCAAAAACTACTTTAAGATACGATCCCAAAACTGTCCCATAATTCCGATATTTACTGGGACTTTCAATTTTTTTCCTTCAAACTTAATGAAATATTACAGAGAAAGGGGGGGGGGTTAAGCCTCAATAGCCCCACCCCTGTATACGCCTATGAACTGATTTCAAATTTTCCATAACCTGTGTCCGAACTTAATTTAAGCCGCGTTTAAACCGGTTTCAATTAAGCGCCAAAATTTAATACAATTTTAAGTGAAACCAACCATATTTTAGGCCTGGCTTAAATTTAAGCCACGGCTCAAATTCTTTAAATTCGGCCTCTGCACTGATGAAAAGTATATTGAGCCTAGACAAATCTTCGCAAAAATTATTAAAACATTTTTAGTCTTTTTAAAGGCTTGGTTCTAATTCAGATATTTAACAAGATGCTTTTTAATTATATTTTAAAAATATTGAATCCTGAGAATGTTTATAAAATTTAAATTTATTTTTAGTCAAATTTCTTTTTAGAGGAGGGGGCTCAGAGTTAGATTCTAGGGGAGGGGGCTCAGAGTTAGATTCAAAATATAAAAGATTATTGAGATTAAAACACTTGACTTTTACAAATCACTGGGGACCCATTCTTGCTCCCCCTCCCCTTTGTGTGCCCCCCCCCCCCCATAGGCCCCAAAATACAAGTATTCACGGCCATGCATAAGAACTGGAACCTAGTTCTTGAATTAAATATGAAATTATTATAAACTTGATTTACAAATGATCAAGATTAGCATATTACAGGTGGAAACCAATAAGCACTAATCGATGCAAATAATAGAATAATTAATCTAGCAATTTTTTTTGTGATAATTACAGCAGAAAGATGATAATAATGGTTTTAAGACTGCTGCGGAGTATACGGTATAAAGCGTGTTAAATGTTTAATATGCCTGATTTTATTCTCCCCTCGAGGCATAATTTTCAATGCAGGTTTTAACCGGAAAATTCAGATAAATTTATATTTTTAAAGACCGTATATTTAAAAAAAAACAAATTTACATCTTTTTTATCTAATCTATCTGTATACAGTCGTCGTCAGATAAATCAATACAATGAAGACGACTTTCGAATTCAATTTTTGACAAATGCCAATCTTTCAAACAGCATGGATACACATAGACATGGAAACTAAGAAAAGCTGTCAATTAACGAGGTGAGGAAGGCCAACCAAAATAATTTTTTCGTCCGAGCCACCTCGAAATCCTCGTCCCTCTAATATTATTATTATTAGTGTCTAATCTTCCCAGAAAGAAACTATTTTTTAAGAATTGGGCCACGTTAGGGCATTAATGAAACATTGAATTTTTGTAAATCGAAAAAAGATGTTTCAAATTAATTATAGTTTTCAAGCTTAGTGTTCTTTTTCACGCCCATTTTTAGATATTCCTGGTGTAAAAGGCCGCAAATAATTCCGAGTTTATAGAACTTCAATCTTTTTTATTAATTGCAGTGAAAACAGTGGAATTTTCCGGGTGGTTCCATAGTGAAAATGATATATATTGATAATTAGGTTGCTAACATGGCTACGGAACACCATGAAAACAGAAAGGCTATCTAGCCTTGCACTCATGCACTCCCATCCAGGGGTGTACGAGGGGGGGCCGCGCCCCCCCCCCTCTACGCTTGCCCCCCCTGAGAGGCTGAAAGGGGGCACCCATGAGGGAGGCTCTTTTAATATTACATCTGCTTGCATTTCCCTTCCTCAGGCCAGGCACAGTGGCGTACCTAGGGGGCAGTAGTCCTGTTGCCCCCCCTGGGAGTTCCAGACGGGGCACTGCCCCCCCCCCTGGAAAATACAAAATTAAAAGGAAACTACGTTTAAAAAGTAACACCTGACAATTACAAAGACTAAGGATTTGTCTGAATTCACTGTTAATACAAGGAGAGAGAAGTTTTAGCCTTCTAAAGAGAATACTTCATTACACAAGATGTACTATGACGGAGAGCAGACTTAACGATCTTGCACTTAAAGCTTTACACCCTATAAGGCTGTGTGAGCTCTCTACTGAAAAAANAAAATCATTGAAATGTTTGTGCAAGCAAATCCCAGAAAATTGTAGCTTAAAAGAGTTGGTGAATATGTAGATTGAGTAAATTCTATCTAAAACATTCAGAAGAAATTTCGTTTATTAGTAAAAAAATAATTTTTAATGATGCTGTAATATTGATTTATTTAGCTGTGATGGAGTTAAGTGATAAATTTGTAAAGTTAAAAAGTTAGTTTTTCAAGCAAAGGAATAATTGTTAGACTCTATAAGGTTATTAACCACCCAAAAATGTAGTCTTTTTGGTGTATTTTTATGGTGAACAAAACAAGTCCAGGTGGGAGGGGGGGCAAAAAAAAATAAAAAAAGGTATCAATATTTTTTCAAAAAAGGGATTTTTAAGGGGAGGGCATACTGTTGCCAAAGGGGGGGGACCCCAAAATTGTGCCCTCCCCCCCTAAAACAAAAGCCCTCGTACGCTCCTGCGCGCTGCTGCCATCCTAGTAGATTAAAATCAATCAAACATGAAGACATTCTTAACAAGTTTTTAAGCGCCAAGCCGCACCGAATTTTTAATGGACGAAAGAGTTGTTACTTTGTTTTTGTTTTTAAAAAAAGGTTGATTTTAAAATTGAATATCTTTTAAATTTGCACGAAAACAATTAAAATGTGCACTGTGCAGATACGTCGGAATCAGATATTTCTAATTTTAAGTCAACATATTCTAAATGATTCTAAATTCTAAAGTAATAGTCAATGTCATTAAAATTAGATGTTTTTTTAATAGAAAATAGAAAGATAGAAATGGTATGGACAGTAAAAAAAAACATTTTTACTTCTAAATAATGTCATTTCCACATTAGATTTCGTTAAGATCTTAACATACTACATTGACGACAAGAAAATTTAACAATGAGTAATGACCATATTTTTTCATGGTTTGGCAGAGTAGCTTTTCTAAAGATTTAAAAAAATTTCATTTTTTTCCTCTTAGAGTAAAACTATTATTTTTTATATTACTGCCTTTTTTGTCAATGTTTGCAAGCAAACTTAATATAAAAAGTTTAGTTAAAATAAAATAAATTCAGTTTTTTTACAGATCTTTGTAGTTAATGTAAAATGAATGACTATAATGAAGGGTATAAAACTAGGTGAAAGCTGAAAGGTATGTAATGAAGCCTTTAATAGGTTGAGTTTATAAATCCCAGAAATGAGTGGAAAATGCAAATCAAACCCAATTAAAACCAATAATTTGATATACATCATGATATTTTTCTAGGGGGGGGGGAAATAAAAAAATTTCTAGGGGGGGGTAAAAAAATTAAAATTTGTTACCCCCCCTACAGAATCCTTATATCCGCCCCCGACGGGACGTGTCCCAATTAACATATGGGAATTCAGCGACGAATTCGATATCGTCTTTTTAAATAATTCTTTGATTTAGTACAGTGATACTTTCTAGGAAAGCTGCATCTGTAAGAGTTTCGTAGCTGTTATGTTCACATTTTGTTTGTTTATGTTTTGACTACTTATAATTCGGGTGTACTATAGTAAAACAATTGAAAATTGCAGTACACAAACAGAGTAAACTTGTCCGTTTTCACTGCTCATTTTGTGGAGACATATATAGACACATCTTTACAGTCTTTTATCTTTTTCATAAAATAAACTCTAGCAGACTCAGACATAATAATATTATGGCCAGGGGTGGACATAAGGATTCTTTAGGGGTCGAAAAGAAATGTTGTCTAAATTTCGGACTTCAGCAATATTTCAAGTTTAATCATGAAGTACTATTGAAGATCTTAATACAAATATTTCAAGTTTAATCATGAAGTACTATTGAAGATCTTAATACAAATTCGATATGGAGCAGAAACTGCATTAGGGTTCCTGCAAGTTTAGATAAACTATCGTAGTAGATTTTAAACTCAGTTTGTAGTAAACAGTTGTACTATAATTACAGGAACGTACATAGTACAAGGTGTGATATTTTTCTATTTAAACTTAGAAGTTAAATTCCATAGAACTGCATGTTCAAACAGAGCATAGATATTACAAAAATTGTTTTAACAGTTGGCATAGAGCAATTTGATAATTTTATTTACAATTTGTTATTATGCAAAACACATATGATCGTTTGGGTTTTGTGGCACTTTTAGTAAACCAGTCTAAGTATAATCCTTAAAGCCATAAAACTATGCATAAATAAAAAAGCTCCATTAAACGCAGAAACAAATAATGAAACTCCTATTATTGTTCTTGGATAAAATTTTTTAAAGAAATCTAGAGGGAATTAATGAAGAGCTTTGGAGAAACGGTTTAAACTAGAATTTTCACCATCTTTAGCAAATTTTATCCCCTTAATTCGCACAAATTCTGTATTTGCTCGTACACCCCTAATTGCACAGAATTCCACGCAAAATGCACAATTTTCGTGGCATTTTTCACATGAAGAAAAGAATAAAAACTGTGCAAATAGTGGAAAACTAAAATTTGCGAGCACAATGCCCAATTTGCGCACAAGAATATTTCCATTCCGCAGGAAACCCTACTGTAGACCCACGAAATAATTTATTTATAAATGGTAGTAATTCTTGCAAAAAAAAACAGCTATTCATTTTTATTTTAGTGTATAGGAAATATTGTTCTAACAACTTTTTATTTTAACCGTTTCCATGGACCCAAAAAAATTCAAAAGAATCCCTTAGCTGTAGATAGATAAATTCAGGGATTGTTAAAGGACGGGGTGTATGATAACTTCTCTTTACTTAAACATAAGATAGATATAAAAGTAGTAATAATACATTTAGAATCCAATTTAACACCTCCTTTTGTCTTCAATAGAACTCTTTATGCAGCATAAAGGGAATTTAAAACATGGGTTTAATCTAATATTAGCAAGATAATCACATCAATTCATATAATCTTATTTTTTTCCAGGTTACAAATTGGAAAGTATGGACAACCAGGGTTATGTCCAAAATGAGAAGGTTGATCGAAGACTCAGCCTTGCAGGGATGGAATTACCTGGACCTGTCAGGTATGCTCCTTCGTTGGGCATTTTTTTTATAGAGTAGTATTTCAGTGTCTAATGCTGTCACTTGTTTTTAGTCGAAGAAACAGCAGGGCACCACCACCTTATGTGCCAGAAGTCCCAAAATATAGGGCTGATAGAAGGCTTAGCTTGTCCGGGATGGAAATACCCGGGCCAGTCAGGTACACTGTACTTTCAGTTTACAGGAATTTGACATCTTTCATATAATCTGTCCTCATTGAGGGATATTAACTTCTCATAGTCTTACTTCCCTTAAAGGATTCTGACCTCCTTAGCAAGGAAGTAAGACTTCTTAAAAAAAAGTTGGACCTTACTCATTATCAGGAAATTTATCGATATAATTTGGAAGTTAATATACTATAATCATGGAGATATAGTTATTATGAAGAAATCAAATTCTTTACAGCTTTAAGTACAGTGTGGGTCTTCAAATAAGAAGCGCCTACATCTTATTTTAGCATGCTAAAATAAGTAGATAAACCAATCAATCATACTTTTCTTTTAGCTTTAATTCAGAGTTTAATTCTTTCAACTGTTTTAGTCGCAGAAATAGCAGGGCCCCGCCCCCTTTTGTGCCAGAAGTACCTGTAAACAGGGGAGAACGAAGACTAAGTTTATCTGGAATGGAAATACCAAATGTAGTTAGTCGGTAATTTTCCCTTTCCAATTTTAACCCTATTCCTGCTGGGGGGGGGGGGACAATTTGACCCCCCCCCCTGTAGTTGTTTTACATAACTCAAAAAGTATTGGTCTGAGGCTGTTGAAATTTTCTGACTTTTCCTACATACCCAAAGCCCTCCCTTTAGGCCTAAAACCGGGCTTTAATACTAGCTGCCTGAGTCCTCAGGCACACTGCCTGAAAGACTGCTTTTTCCTGTAACAAACTAAATCTTTGTTTTGACCCACTTCCACTTGTCAGATTTTGATAAAATTTAGTTTTTTGGAAAGCCTTTGACATAAGGAAACGAATTGCACAATTTTTGCGAAAAAAAAATTGCAAATTTTTTTCAAACAACCTGTCAAAGTAAATTTGCACATTTTTAGTTTTTCTTGATTAAAAATCAGGTTATTTAAAATTTTGCAAAAATATTTGCATATTTGAAATGGCATGGTCAAGGGCTTTTCAAAAATGTATAATTTTTCATTTTTTGGACAAATTTTTTTTTGCAAACATTTTTACTATATAACTGGATTTTGCGATAAAAAATTCAGTTTTTGCAAATTTGCAAATTTTTTTGCAGATTCTAAAAGTAGAGCACAAGAGCTTTCAAATGATGTATCATTTGTCATATTTGGACATCAAACATGGGATTTAGAGGGGGGGGTCAAATTGACCCCCCCCCCAGCATATCCTGGTTTTCAAGTACCCCAGCAGAAATAGGGTTAACTTATTTGAACTTGAAACAGTAACATGAAAGAAATAGTTACTGGCTTAACTTTATTCTGTTTTAAGGAGGAACAGCAAGTATCAGCAAGTAGTTCATCCTCATCCTGTAGTAGAGGATAAAGAAGAAGTTTCTGAGTATTCTCCTCCAGCATATCCTGGAGATAAGAAACAACCTGGAAAGGTTAAAAAGTCCTATAAGAGGGTCAAACAAGTACTTCAAAATAACAAGATTACCTCAAACTTTTTTCCTCCAAAAGGAGATGTGGCGATTAACATAACACTGATGATAACAGTTGTAATCATATTTCTGTGTGCAAGAACAGTTTTAGGTCCATATTCTGCTCTTGGGGGAACAATCTTTGCTGTCTTCATTCTTATCTTCTTTGCTCTGGTTGCAGGACAGATAGTGCTTCAAGCTGCAGCTTTACTCTCTAAGATGGTTGGATTTGATATTCGTATACCCCAGCTTCTTGGAATGATGGCTGTTGGGATATTTTGTAAAAACGTTCCATACAATGCCCATGAGTTTAACAGCCCAGAATGTCTTAACAGATCTTTGGCACATGGTAATCTTTACAAAGAACTGCATGGTAATGACAGTCATTTGATTGATCATGAAGGCTTAAATCTGCATTCAGATGACCCAAATGCGCATGGAGTTATGATGGATGTTCATGCCTCTTTAAAGGAAGGACATTCTGCTATTGTTGATCACCTTGAAAAAACAACAGACAATCCAAAATTTAGCACCACAGCAAAAATATTCCATGCAAAAGCTAAAGAATTCAAATCACCGTCTAATGCTTCACAAGCTCTAAAGTCACATGGGGAAGGTTTCAAACCAATTCCAGATTCTGAAACTCTTCATCATCGCGCAAGACGAAGTGGAGGTCATGATGAACCTGCTGTATACCGTGATCCTTGTGTTAAGAGATTTATTGGAGGTGATGTTGATCCAACTGTTAAAGGAATTTTGAGATCTGCATGTTTAACTTTTATTCTTCTGATGGCAGGTCTTGAATTGGATCCTCCACAACTATGGAGACTTAAATGGATTGTACTGAGAACTACCTTCATACCTTGCATAGTAGAGGCATTTGCTGCTGCCCTGTTTTGTTATCTGATCCTTGGATTTCCCTTTCTTCCTGGACTATGCTTTGGATTTGTTCTCTGCGGAGTATCTCCAGCTGTTATTATTCCAGGATTGGTGAATCTTAGTCAGAGAGGATACGGAGTAAAGAAGGGAATACCAACACTGGTTATTGCAACATGTTCTGCTGATGATCTTGTGGCTATTGGAGGATTTGGAATAGCTGCTGGAATTACTTTTAATCCTGATGCATCAATATCTGATCTTGCCAGCCATGGACCTCTTGAAGTGCTCTTGGGGATTGCATTTGGAATATTCTGGGGATACATCTGCCAATGGTTTCCAAGTAAGCAGTACGAAAACTATGTGTTCTTTAGATGGGTCTTACTGACAGCTGGAGGTGCTTTTGCTCTGTTTGGAGCACATATGATCCATTATGATGGAGCTGGAGGTCTGGCTTGTGTGATCATGGCATTTGTTGCCTCTATTCAGTGGAGAAGAGAAGGGTGGGGAGATCATAACCCTGTTACAGATATCTATAACAAGGTCTGGATTATCTTGTCTCCAGTTATCTTCTCACTCATCGGAACCAATATCAACGCAGAAAAGATGGATGGGGCAACTGTAGGAATGGGTGTTGCTGTACTTGTCTGTTGCTTTTTAACCAGGGGATTCTTTACCTATTGGTCAGCTGTTTGCGGAGGATTAGACACGAAAGAAAAAATATTTTTGGCCATTTCTTGGCTCCCTAAGGCTACAGTTCAAGCAGCTTTAGGTATTTCTTTTTACTTCTTTAATTCTTATTTAACCCAGTTTTGATTAATTAAAATAACAGATCAACAGGCACATGAAAGAGCTCTTTGTGTTTAACAACAAATTTACAGATTCTTTTAGTTTGTCAATATCTCACTTATATTCATTATTTTTTACTTTTTCAGGTCCGGCATTCTTGGAAAAAGCAATAGCAGCAAATCTTCCAGAGTATGTGCCAGTGAGTATTTATTAAATATTACACATTTTTAAATATTTTAAAAGCTGTTATTTTGTTTTTAATGCCCTTATTTTAAGATTGGAGAAACAATTCTTACCATGGCTGTCATATCCATTGCAATAAGTGCACCCATCGGAGCCATACTTATCTTGGCACTTGGACCTGTACTGCTTCCTAATGATTTTGAGGGTGATGAAGACGAAGATGAGGAGGCTGGTGAGCTTGATGTTATCAAGGAGAACATGAAAGAAATCACCAAGGAAGCTCATCACTAATACAGAACTTGATTATTTATTGCAATGCATCATTTTTTGGTTTTTATTTTTATTAAAAAGTGATTATATAAACAATTATTTAGCATTTGAATGTTAAAAAATCAAAAGCATATTTAACAAATAATTTGGCTTCTTTTAATAGAAAACTTTTGTTTAGCTGCAAAAGGTAATATATCATCCTCAAGTTTTCTTGTTTTTGCTTCCACCCTGTAGGTTACTTTCATACTATTGGCTTGGCTGCATCAGTTCAGGGGATGGTAAACATAGATACTAGATAGCTTAACGCTTAAGAGGTTCAGAAAATTCTTAGATTTTGTCATTCAGATAATCATATTTTATTTATATTTGATTCCAATTTTTAAAAAGAGGGCATTATGGATTAAAAATTGTATTATGCTTTCTTTAGATTCTTGTTTTAAAGATTCTATAGTATATGCACTACCAGAAAAATTGGCCTGTTTTTTCAATAAAAAGTTAAGGAATTACTAACCACAAGAAAATACACTTTCTTAATATCTTAAAATTATTCCCAAGGGGCAGAATGGTCGACCCTTCTATTAAGACATTTAAAGAATAAAACCTACTGTTAGAATAAAATAAAATCTTTTTCGCGATAAATATTTTTATTCCACTTAATTATTTAAAACTATAAGTCATCATTTAGCATTGATTACTCTAGCCTAAAATAATATCTGTATTGTTCCTAATTCTAAAATAAGGTGTGTTAATTGTCTTTAAAAGGTTAACATTCACTTTAAATGATATTAAAACCAAATCATTGTAATGATATTTTCCAATATATGTTTTATATATTAATGCTGCTAAAGAATGTATACAACATGAAACACAGTGTCCAGCAATAACCAATCTTAATAAAGAATAGAACTGTTCTAGACTTATTTTAAGAAGATATTATATTTGTATAGATTTAAAACTAATCATAAACGATATTTTAAAAATGTTTTACAGAATTATTTAAAGTATACAAAACAAAGAGTAATTACTTTTCGTGAATTTTAAAAATGTCAATATTAATTATAGTCGTCTTTAAAGTCTTTAAAGATTTAAAGTCTTTAAAGTCTTTAAAGTCTTTAAAGGTCTAAAGTATTTAAAGTCTTTAAAGGTCTAAAGTATTTAAAGTCTTTAAAGGTTTAAAGCCTTTGAAGCCTGCAAAAGTTTATAGTCTTTAAAGTCTTAAAAGTTTTTAGATTTTAAAGGGAACAATACCTAATTTTCAGAAAGATGCATGTGGAGAATTTTAGAGAGAATTTGTTTATATGTAGATAGTGCCTTTTTTTGTGACAACTAACACCGCCACAGGAAAATTTTTTGACATGAAAATTAAAAATATTTTGTCTTGAAAAAATGTCGACATTTATTGTTTTTGAAAATTAAATAGAAAAATTCGCAAAATTTGTTATTATGTAGAACGGATTAGAAATAAAGACTTGAAGAGCATAAGCTTAAAGTAAAAATTATTATTAGAAAAGTGGGCGCGAAGAGTCCTAAAAGTTTAGTATTGCTTGTCTGTCTGTTTGTTTCTATCAAATAAACGTCAAAATGGCTGAACCGATCGGGCCAAAAATTTGTATTGCAATCATCATGACCACCGAAAACGTTCATATTGAAAATTTCAACCAGAGATAAAACCATCGATTTTTTAAAACTAAATTAACTAATTAACTAATATTTTTTTAAAATCCTCGAACATTTTAGATTGATTAAAAATGGTGATATTCAGACCAACAATTAAAAGCTAAAATTGTCAATAGGGAAAGGGGAGTGAAGCGCTTTATAAGTTAAGTATTAGAGACAATCTAATTGTCTAATATAAGTAATCATTGAATCTATTTCTGTATTTAATGTATACTGTACATTTATACGTTTAAGATCAATTTGCAGTAACATTATTGATTTGATAGAATTTAAAAAAATAATAAAAATGATAAATATATCTATATACAAACAGCATTTCTTGCAATGGATGACACCCCAACTTCTTTTAAGTACAGGTTGGACCACTCTGATCTGTGAATTCCCCCCCCCCCCCCCCCCGCGCTAAAACCACCGCTGGTTTCCAGCATAAACTGCATTGGACTGCCTTCAAGTTTTGATAAACGGTAGGAGTAGACTTCTTTGTACTCAGTTCATAATTAGCAGTTGTTCTAATTACTAGTCTTTAGGTCTTATTCTTACTGATCAAGGATTTTATTTTGTTTGATGGGAAAATGCTTGAAGTAGATATGAAATTGAAATTAAAGGGAAGGTCAGCATAATTTCAAGTGACCCTCCATGCAAACACGGCAATTCCCGATTCACAACAATACCCTTGTAACCGTTATCTGATCAAAAATGTGGAAGATATCGTCGTTTTTATAGGTTTCAAAATGTTTAACTCAGATAAGTCCTGTATCTGTCTCTGCAATAGAAATGCGCGAGTCACTTTTGCAGATAACTCACAATTTTAAATATTAGATTTTCAAAATTATAAACATTGATATCTAAACCAGACAGACAAAGCTTGTAAGTGTATGTTGTGAAACTGGCATGGCCATCTTAGCATTGAGGGTCACATAAAGTACGAGTACAACGAGATCAGTGATAAAAGTTTATCTTACAGAACAGTTTCATTGGACATAAAAATCATGTCAGCCAAAATTGACAAAAATAACCAATTCTGCGTAGTGATATTGTTTGAGATTTTTTAAAAACTCAGTCATTTTCTTGCTTATCCTTGCTATCTTAACCTAGGATGTGATTATTAGCTAAATGAATTAGCAAATGAATTGTTATTATTAAAAACATCGACACTAGTACATACTTTGCTTGTATGTCTGTTTGTTAGTTTGTTTATATATATAATAAAACAAGACATTTATAAATATGTTGGCAAAAAAAAAAATTCCAATATTTTTTTCAAAATTAAAAAATTTCCACGGGCAACGGCCCTTCTGCTAGTATCCAATATACGTCAAAACAGCTAAACCGATTGGGCCCAAATTTTGTGTAAGAACCTCACATGACCCCAGGGAAGGTTTGTGGATGATCAAAATTTCAAAAATTAGCCTCAAACAAAATTTAATTTAATTTATTCCAGGGGAATTGTTGCTATAAAATTCGCGAACTTTTTTTGCTTTTGTTTTACAATGTACACAAAAAGAAAATGTTCACAATTGAAATGAAAGATGGGCGCGAAGAGCTCTGAAAGCCTAGTTTTTTAAATTAAATTTGAATGAATTATAGCTCTGGATTAATATAGAATGCAAATAGTTGTTATCTCCTTTATTTTAGATTTCGGAACGCCTGCCAAATCCACAGTTATTTAGGGAAAGAAAATTCCAAACCATGTTTTGGCCCAAACCTGACACTTTTTTTGCCATATTTTAGTCGTTTACAGTCCCTTTAAAATGTTCTTTTAATACTTAATGGAAATTGGAACATATTACATTTAAATTCACACTAAGAGCACAAAACTCGTTAACAACATGTGCATTGTGCCTTGTTTTACAACATGTGCAATCTGCCTTGTTCGTCGTTTCGTAATTTTGAGAATACTTTTTCAGACAATTAAATTAAGTTTTGTTATTTCAAAATATGAAGATTTATTTTTAAATATTACACAGATTCTAATCTTGATTTTCTATTGTTCTATTTGTGTACAAACTTGACACTGTTTCATTTCATGTTTGTAACACAAGAACGGTTTGGAACTTGCGTCCCCGGCTTTTGGCAAAATAGTTTCACTTCAAAACGTTTCCGTATCACGTTGCTTGTGACATGGTGCACTCAACTCAAACCTTAAAGGGAGTGTTCGCGAAAAATGAAAGGGGGTATAGGCTTAATGCGATAAAAAAGCGCTTTTGATCGCTACTAATCTTACTTCTATCTGTTGCGTCTATAAGGAGAAAATTGTTAAAGACGTCTCATACGAATAACTAAGCGGCCATACAAATTGAGAAAATTGCAACATACTACTTAGAACGTAAAAAATCAATTTAATTTCAAACAAATCATTTAGATATTACAACCTATAGTCATCGATTATCTTTCGCCACATTTGTATATAGTTTATATTTTATAATATTTTATTTTTTTAGAAAACGTTTGCAACGGATTTCGAAAATTGTGAGTGGTGTGCGGCATTCTTAGATAGTTGCGCAATTCACAAGAGAAACAAGCAAATTAGTTAAAAAATATTATAAAATATAAACTATATACAAATGTGGCGAAAGATAATCGATGACTATAGGTTGTAATATCTGAAGGATTTGTTTGAAATTAAATTGATATTTTACGGTCTAAGTAGTATGTTGCAATTTTCTCAATTTGTATGGGCGCTAAGTTATTCGGTATGAGACATCTTTAACAATTTTCTCATTGTAGACGCAACAGATAGAAGTAAAATTAGTGGCGATCAAAAGCGCTTTTTTATCGCATTAAGCCTATACCCCCTTTCATTTTTCGCGAACACTCCCTTTAAGAATTTAATTTAATCTCTATTTTTATCTTTTAGTTTTCCCCCTAAGTTCCCCCTTCTTTTCTTCTATTTCAAACTTTACTATTTGATCAAACGTGCATGCAGAACTCTTAGTTTAAAAATCGGAGGCTTAATTCACCAAGTTACAAAATTATAGGGATTATAAAAATAAATTTATTTTAATGTTAATTCAACATTTATAAACAATTGAAGGTCTGTAAATGATTAAAAGATCGAGATATTACCGAGTTTAATTTCAATTGATTAAAAACCTATTTGCATACTTTTATATAAAGTAGCCAAGGGTACATTTTTAGACCAGTTTCAACACGTACAGGTCCACTAAAAATATTTACGAAATAATTTTCCTTTTACAATTACTAATTTCAATTTGGAACATATCACATTTTTAAAGAGAATTTGCACTTTGACTTCAAAACGTATTTTGGAACATGAGTCCCCTGTATTACCAGGTTCCAAAAAATTAACAAAATAATTGTAATTTTATTGATTTATCCATTTGTTTTGGTTTATTTTAGATATTTCATCATTTATTTTTCAATAGTTTGCTTAAAATGCAGTTGTTTTTTTCTTTTTTAATGTTTACTCTGCAAGAATATGGAAGGAAAAAAATACATCTTTTGCCAGACTAACTATCTGAAATTAATTGATTTTTTAAAAATATGAAATAAAGAGGAAAAATGTTACATAAACTTTTAGTTTTTGGATTAGTTTTACTTTACAGGTGATTTCCAATTGCCGCCCCCCCCCTCCTCCCCAAGCAGTTTGATAGACTTTAATTTTTAACACTTCTGCAGTTTAGGGAAACACACAGTTAAAAAAGAAAATACAATTTTACCAAAAAACGATAAAAAGAAACTGAGACAACGCCACAAACTCTGATTTCTTTGTAACCCAATCTTTGCAACTTAATGTCGTAGACCTTTGATCATTTCAAACTATGAATTCTGTTAGATCAAATAATACGCTTGAATTATTAAAGGTGACTTTGTACACCTTTAGGTTACAAAGGGTATATCAAATTTAAGCTTGTGACAAAGACTCAATTTCTTTTTTGTGTGGAAATGTTAGAAAACAGTATGTGGAATTGCAATTAACATATAATTTCTTCATATCTTTCTTATTTGGTAACTTGTATAAAAATACAGAAATTCTGAGATTAGAAAAAATGTGTACTTTGTCCCAACTTTCATCTTTTCTTCATGTCATGAAATCAAGAAATGTTTTTTTAGATGAAATCCTGTTTTTTATCCATTGGGAAATTTCCTCTCATTGAACATGAAAAAGAAATAATATCTGTCATAAACCAGTCTTAATATCAAGAATATAATGCAGTGTATCTTTTCATTAAATATAACTATTATGTACTTTATCATGCATGCTCACTTCATGGTGAATTTTATTATTAACGTGATTTAATATAATGTTAAAATATTAAATTAGTTGTACACTAAAGCAAAGTTTCCTTGAATCCCAGATTTTCTCCAAAACATTTCGAATATTTCTAAATAAATTTGTTTCAATTTTATTGAATACTAAACTGAAATTAGGATATTATTTTTATTTCTGCTATTATATCTAGAAATAACTAAAAGTGTAATTAAATTGTTGTTTTTTTGAAATTTCTAGATATTTTTTAGAAGTTCTTGTTTTTAGAAGTTCATGTGGAAGATTTATAAAATTAGATAACATTAAAAATCTTTTAAACAATTTCTGGGTTGCCCATAATTACACAATACCCTATTCTGTAGTATCCCAAAATCTTTTAATTTTATGACAGAGAATAACCAAAATTTTGCCAGTTTCAGGTTTGTATTAGTAACATGGATAACCGTGGTTACAATGTTACGAATGAGAAAAATGATCGAAGACTCAGTCTCTCTGGAATGGAGATGCCAGGTCTATACAGGTATTTAAAGGGACTGTAAGCGTAATTTTAAGTGATCATCCATGCGAAGAGGGCAATGCCCAATTTACAACGGTACACTTGACTGTTAATTGAAGACAGAACCTTTATGTGTAAATCTCGCAAATAGCGGTTTTATGACTGTAAAATACTATGTAAGCTGCATACAATGTAAACTCAAAAGGGTTGATCCATACTTACATTCCTAGTGTGTTCAAATATTTGATGTAGATTAATAAAAGGTTAGTCAATAATAGTCAAAGGTTTAGGGCTACATTCAATAGAGAATTGTTAACTAATTATTCTAAATTACTTTATCATTATTTTCGTAGTCGAAGGGGCAGCAAGGCGCCACCACCTTTTGTGCCCGAAGTATCGGAAGATAGGGGAGATAGACGACTCAGCTTGTCTGGCATGGAATTGCCAATTCCATACAGGTAGTTTTTTCCGGTCTTTATTTCTCAATGAAAAGTGCTCAGCTGCCATGCTCAATATTCACATCTGCCTTTTATTTTAAAGCAATTATCATAATCAATGAAAACATCTGATACATCTTTACTTGAAATCTCATTAACTCAGACCAGATATTTATTGCTTCTAGTTGGTCAATGCTTCCATGCAGACATAGCTTTCTTTGAAAGAGAATTGACTCATAAATGTAGATTCGTGCTTTTAAATGAAATAACAATTCAAAGGTCAGACCTCTTTTTAAAGGCTTCATAACCTCTCTTTATCTAGCCGAAGGGGAAGCAAATATCAGCCTGTGCAAGAACCTGTTCAAGAAACCTTTGAGCTCCCAGAGGATCCTCCCCCTGCCTACCAAGGCAATAAAAAGGCCCCTGGAAAGGTCAAAAAGTCTTACAAGAGAGTAAAACAAGCACTTCAGAGTAATAGGATTACCTCAAACTTCTTTCCCCCAAAAGGAGAGGTGGCAACGAACATAACTCTAATGATAGCAGTCGTTATCATATTTCTGTGTGCAAGAACAGTTTTAGGATCATATTCTGCTCTAGGGGGAACAATCTTTGCTGTCTTCATTCTAGTATTCTTTGCTTTGGTAGCTGGACAGATAGTTCTTCAGCTTGCAGCAATAATATCCAAGCTTGCAGGGTTTGATATTCGCATCCCACAACTACTTGGAATGATGGCTGTTGGAATCTTTTGTAAAAATGTTCCGTACAATTCCCATGAATTCAACAGCCCAGAATGTCTAAACAGATCTTTGACCCATAGTGATCTTCATGAAGATGTTCATGGAAATGAAAGTCATTTGATTCTGCATGGTGATACCGACTTACATCACTTAAATGTACATGGAAAAATAATGGACATTCACGCCTCTTTCAATGAAGGACATGCTAAAATCGTTGAACACCTGAAAAATTCTACATTCAGTTCAACAGCTGAAATAAATCATAATGACCATCCAGAATCTATTGGATCAACTAATAATACCCATGAAGATAAATTAGATACTCACACTAATGGAGAAGGATTTAAGCCAATTCCAGATTCTGAAAATCATCATCATCGAGCAAGACGAAGTGGAGGTCATGATGAGCCTGTTGTATACCGTGATCCTTGTGTTAAGAGATTTATTGGAAATGATGTTGATCCAACTGTTAAAACAATCTTAAGATCTGCATGCTTAACATGTATTCTTCTGATGGCAGGTCTTGAATTGGATCCTCCACAACTATGGAGACTTAAATGGATTGTACTGAGAACTACCTTCATACCTTGCATAGTAGAGGCATTTGCTGCTGCCCTGTTTTGTTATCTGATCCTTGGATTTCCCTTTCTTCCTGGACTATGCTTTGGATTTGTTCTCTGCGGAGTATCTCCAGCTGTTATTATTCCAGGATTGGTGAATCTTAGTCAGAGAGGATACGGAGTAAAGAAGGGAATACCAACACTGGTTATTGCAACATGTTCTGCTGATGATCTTGTGGCTATTGGAGGATTTGGAATAGCTGCTGGAATTACTTTTAATCCTGATGCATCAATATCTGATCTTGCCAGCCATGGACCTCTTGAAGTGCTCTTGGGGATTGCATTTGGAATATTCTGGGGATACATCTGCCAATGGTTTCCAAGCAAGCAGAATGCAAACTATGTGTTCTTCAGATGGGTCATCCTAACAGCAGGAGGTCTGTTTGCTCTGTTTGGAGCACATATGATCCATTATGATGGAGCTGGAGGTCTGGCTTGTGTGATTATGGCATTTGTGGCCTCTATTCAGTGGAGAAGAGAAGGGTGGGGAGATCATAACCCTGTTACAGATATCTATAACAAGGTCTGGATTATCTTGTCTCCAGTTATCTTCTCACTCATTGGAACCAATATCAACGCAGAAAAGATGGACGGGGCAACTGTAGGATTGGGTGTTGCTGTACTTTTCTGTTGCTTTATAACCAGAGGATTTTTTACTTTTTGGTCTGCGGTTTGTGGAGGGTTAGACACAAAAGAAAAAATCTTTCTTGCTGTTGCTTGGCTTCCAAAAGCAACAGTCCAAGCAGCATTAGGTGATTAAACATAATAATAATAATATTTTATCAATCATTTATAATTAAAGTTTTGATTATTTCTAATTGCCATGATTAAGGTCCTGCGTTCTTGGAAAAGGCGATTTCAGCAGGACTTACGGATTTTATACCTGTAAGTAAATTTAACCTTTGTTATAGCATGGACATTGGACAGTGTTGAAGCATTACCATACTTGTTATCAAATGTTCTTTTTGTGTGGTTGTCTTTCACATATGTTTATTTTATCAATAATAATTAATTAATTTTATGTCAAGCTGAGATTTTTTTTAAAAGCCTTTCCTAGACTTGATTCTAATTTGTACTCATTTGACCAATGATATAATGCATAATGGTCTACATAATCAGCTGACAAATCTAGGTTGGCTCAGTATAAATTTCGAAAATTTACATATGTATATTATTGTGTTTATTGTATAAATCTAGCAAACTTCAACATGACAGATAATTATCAAGATTTTAAATGTAAACACATACTAAATTATAGTATTTATGAAATTTACGATTTTACTGAAGCCAAGTCAAACCAAAACTCAGGTTTGAGCTTGAGCTTTACTAAAGAATAAATAGACGCTAAGACCGGGTTTTACTCAAGCTTTTAAGATCTCAGCTCTGATCAAATATAATGATGAATTTAATTTGAAATTGGTGGCAAGCTCATTTATTTAAACACATATTAATATAACGCCAACTTTATTATAAATATTACAGATGGGAGAGACGATTCTCACTATGGCAGTTATTTCCATAGCTATAAGCGCTCCCATCGGCGCCATTCTCATCCTAGCGCTTGGACCTGTTCTGCTACCAAATGACTTTGAGGATAAAGAGGATGACCCAGAAGACAATACTGATAGAGAGGGTATCATTGAAAACATGAAAGAGGTTGTGCATCACTAAGCCTTCAGTTTGGGATATCATGCTGGGCTTTTATGATAAAAAAATGGCAATTAATGATTCCTTGTTAAGTTTTCTACAGTTTGTAACTTTCATCATAATTCCTTTATTTTACTATTTTTACTTTTTATCAAAATATTTCTCTTTAACTTTTTAATTTCTATGCAACCTTCTTACACATCAAAATAAACAGATATGTAAGAAAAAGGGAATTGCAAAATAAAATGTAATTTATATGCGTATATTAAATATTTACATTCAGGACTATATCTATGTTTTTTATATATTATTGTTCATTAGTCTAGATATTTGTTGAATTAAATGTTTAAATATTATATTATTCTGTATTCTACAGCCTTCAAGTTCCACTTGTCAATCAGCTTGAAGAGTCTACAGTATTACCCACAAAACCTAACACTTGAATGACGACATAAAACTTGTTAAATACAATATATTAAAAGTTAAATTTGGTCTTTTGCCTTAAATGTCGTCTTCTTCCATAATATGTCACGTTGTTTGTTGCCAAAGAGAATAATACTAAATATTTTATGGCATCCATATTATAGTAAAATTGATTTCTAAGTAAAATATATTTGAGCAAAGTTTTTTTTCAATTAAATAAACTGCAAAAAGTCTTAAAGTTCTAATACGGCATATGGAAGAAGACATTCAAAACTATTCACCAACTGTCATGTTTCGTGGGACACCCTGTACGTGCTTAATTTTATTTAAATACTTCTGAAGGTTACACATTCTTCAGCTATGTGCCAGCTGGTTTCTTGGGTATTGTTTGTTTAGTGTGAAAAATACAGCTTCATTAATCCTTTCACTGTAAACTCTGTCTCATTTTTAATACCGAGCCGACTTTTAAGCAGCAGGCGCTAGTTCACGGTGAACTAGAGGTCCTAGACAAAAACCAAGTGAGTACATACTTTAGAACCCATTTTCACCCATTAAGCGTATATTTGTCACATTTGCTATTAACACTTTTTTCAATATATCTAAGGACAAGTTATTTTACGTTAACTTTGACAGATTTTGAATGAGAGATCAAAATATGACTGATAATAATATGCCAATACAGACAGGATGCACTTCGTTGTATTTAGTTTCACGTGAGTGGTACTCTGTACACTACAGTACAAACTTACAAATGAATGAGAACACAAAACTGTTTTAAGTTTTATTTATGCATACATTTCTTGATTTTTATTTAGGGTAGAACTTGTATACAATTTTTTCAACCATGAATGAAACGATAGCAAGTGGAATCATTAGTCCATATAGCAGAAAGGGAACCTGTAATGTAAACTGTACTGGAGGTGTGAGTCAAAAGTAATTAGTGTTATAAGCGTAGTCTTAATAAAAAAAACTGTTTTTAGTTCTTTTTAGTATTTTTGCAATATGTTTTATATAATGCATTTTATTTTCGGAACCTGCATGACCCAACAAAATCGAAAATTTATTTTTTTATTATAACTATAAGAGTAGAAAAAATATTATTTCTATCAAATCCTAAAATCCAAGAGAGTGTTTGTATAAAATTTAATGATCTAATTCAATGAATCTTTATACTTTCCCAAAGGCGTTTTCCCAAGCGGCAGCTTCCCAAGGTGATTTTCCCTAGTGGCAACTTCCCAAGCCGCAGTGCTCGGCCCCCTAGCCTGTTCTATCCGCAGCGCTCATCCCCTTTCCCATCCTAGCCGCAGCGTTTATCCCCACGCCAGTGCAGCTTGCTGCACCTCAGAAGACCTCATGACCCGACAGCAATTATTCTTTTGAAGAAAATAGGAATTTGGAGAATTTCTCCGGCTCATATTTTCTACAAATGTAAAATAGCTGTCGGAGTATCGGGTCATGGTATTTTAATTCTGAACATTACCTGAAATTGTTGAAGACCCTGGGTGGAGAACTGTTGTTTGGCATTTACTAAAAAATTAACTATTGGATAACCGGTACAGTAAGGCCAAAAAATATGCGAATTATGAAGACGACATTTAATTACAATCATTTGAGAATTTATGTTGTTCAAAAGCAAATAGTCTAAAGTGACTGTAGCCGCAATTTTAATTAGTTTAAAGTGATTGTAAGCGTATTTTTTAAATAGTCTAAAGTGACTGTAGGCGTAATTTTAATTATTCTAAAGTGACTGTAGGCGTACTTTTTAATAGTCTAAAGTGACTGTAGGCGTAATTTTAATTAGTCTAAAGTTACTTTAGTTGTAATTTTAAAAAGTCTAAAGTGACTGTAGGCATAATTTTTAATAGTCTAAAGTGACTGTAGGCATAATTTTTAATAGTCTAAAGTGACTGTAGGCATAATTTTTAATAATCTAAAGTGACTGTAGGCGTAATTGTAAATAATCTAAAGTGACTGTAGGCGTAATTTTAATTATTCTAAAGTGACTGTAGGCGTAATTTTAATTATTCTAAAGTGACTGTAGGCGTAATTTTCAATAGTCTAAAGTGACTGTAGGGGTAATTTCAATGAGTCTAAAGTTACTTTAGTTGTAATTTTAAAAAGCCTAAAGTGACTATAGGCGTAATTTTTAATAGTCTTAAGTGACTATAGGCGTAATTTTAAATAGTCTAAAGTGACTATAGGCGTAATTTTAATCAGTCTAAAGTGACTGTAAGCGTAATTTTAAATAGTATAAAGTGGCTGTAGGCATAATTTTAAATAGTCTAAAGTGACTGTAGGCGTAATTTTAATCATTCTAAAGTGACTGTAGGCGTAATTTTAATAATTTTAAAGTGACTGTAGGCGTAATTTTTAATAGTCTGAAGTGACTGGAGGCGTAATTTTAATTAGTCTAAAGTTACTTTAGTTGCAATTTTAAAAAGCCTAAAGTGACTATAGGCGTAATTTTTAATAGTCTAAAGTGTTTATAGGCGTAATTTCAAATAGTCTATAGTGACTGTAGGCGTAATTTTAATTATTCTAAAGTGACTATAGGCGTAATTTTAATTGTTCTAAAGTGACTGTTGGCGTAACTTTTAAAAGTCTAAAGTGACTGTAGGCGTAATTTTAATTAGATTAAAGTTCCTTTAGTTGTAATTTTAAAAAGCCTAAAGTGACTATAGGCGTAATTTTTAATAGTCTAAAGTGTTTATAGGCGTAATTTTAAATAGTCTAAAGTGACTGTAGGCGTAATTTTAAT